AGAGAGGCGATGGTGCTCCTGGTATAATATAACTTACATCTGAAGAATAGCGTTGTCACTCCTGTATAAGTTAACTAATATCTGGAGCGCTGTGTTGTCACTTCTGTAGAATGTCATTTATATTTGCAGAGTAGACTGGTGGTGTCACTCCTGAAAGTGATGACTCGCTAGAAGGCCATTGCTGTCACTTCTGTAGCATATTTTATTCTGGACCGTATTTCACATCTGCTCCTGAAATATTAATATCTATTAGATTCTAGGAATGCGGTTCTACATCAGGTGACATTGTGACAAGCTGAGTACAATTGGGGCGAGGCCTCCGCACGGCTCCACTCCAGTATATAATCTTCCATCTGTCTCGATTTGCATAGCAGCTCACCAAATTCCTATTTGTGAGTCTCTTGCACAAATGTCACATCTATAAAGCCGCAGGACGCTGGCTGACTTCTCCATTACCGCGCTATAAAACACTGCGGCGCTACATTCCCATCTCCACCGCATTCCGTGTACGTTTTTATGAATATCTGGTTGGCAAAGTCATTTATTTTTCACAATAAGGCTCTGGCGGTAATAGATTTCCTCCTTCTTCCGCTTGCTTCTGATCTATAAAGCCGACAAAGGGGCCCGAGAGGCATATAAAACTATCTTCAAACATTTTATCTCAAATCATAAAGAATAATTATCTGTTCGGATTATCGCTCCAGCTACTTTCCTCCTCAAAATTGAAAGCGCCTCGCCGGAGCTTGGCTCAGTTGGGAATGAAAAGGTTGGAGGGCCAGTAAAGAGTTTATGATGTCAGAGTCCATTTGCAGATATTTATTGTATCTGCTACAGTGACTTAAAGTGGAACTATGGGCAAAATGTAATACAATTACGCACTTGGTCACCTGCAGGTTTTTGTTTATTTGAGTCCACTTTGTTACATAGGTTTATCACCTGTTGATCCTGCCAGTAGATCAGTTATTGTTCTACTTCCTTTAACAGGGTGATCTTCCTGTGGGCAGTGTTGTCAGCCTTTGGACAGGGTAGTCTTAGATGTCAATCTAAAAGGACTTTGAAGGCCCATCCAGACCTAGGCATTGCGGTAATACCAGCGCACTTGCGTTGCAGCACACCACAATGCTTGGAAACATACTATGTGGTGCAACGTGTTGGGGGGAGAGAGGAGCAGCTCCGATTTTAGGTCCCTTGTGCTGCATTGAAAGCCCATTCAAAGCACATTAACCTGTGATGCCACACGGTACCAAATGGGTCTGAAAGGGCCGGAAATAAAAATTAAAAAAAGTAATGACAAAAAAAATAAAAGCCCAAATCCAGTTAACTCTTTTTAATTTAGTCATGGCAAGTTTTTCTTTTTTTAATGCCTTTTGGGAGAAAAAAAGTTTTAAGCTGTACGGATCAATGGCACTGTACCACGTTATAGCAACACACAGGTCTGAACTGGCCCATTATTATACTTGTAAAGCCAAAAGATTTTTTTTTTAGTTTTGGATAGAATGGGGGAGGGTTAGAACCTCTGTAAGATATGTAGTGGTGTGAGTGACTCCACTGGGTAACATCATGACCCTATTGGTCCTGGTGATCATGCATCCCAACTGTACCTCATTTGGAGGGACTGTCCCTTGTTTGGAACTTCATTTGGATCTTTCCTCCTCAGTTGTCCCTCATTTATGGTCTAATGTACAGATAGCCATGAAAATTGTACAAATTCCTAAAAAAAATCCTAATCCATAACCAAAAAAAATGTTATGGTTTTGTAAATTCTGTAATATATTTAGCTGGAAGGCGCCTTTTTTTCCTAAAGCTGCATTTCTTCTCTCCTCTCCGCGGCCTGTAAGTAAAATATGACCCGTCGCCCTTCCCACAATCCCCAGCGGTGAGAGTTTGGCTCATGCAGAAGGTGACGGTCCCTGCCTCTGACTTTTATAACATTTTATTCTGGAACTTTTATGGGAAAAAGATAAAATCCTTTTCGCAATTTTGTTGCAGATAGTGTGTAAAAAATATAAAAAGTCTCCGGAGAGAAGTTATTTCGGTTTCCTGCCTCCCGAGAGGAGCCGAGAATGTCTGTCTTGTCACAGTTCTCAGAACGCAGAGAGTGCTGACCTTAGGAGAGAGAAACTGTGCTAAAGGTGAAAAACACTTCAATACGATATATAACGGTCATAATACAAATATTTACTCTTTTCTGTATCTGTTTGGCCGTCTTTTATATGTATGTATGTAATGTATATATGTATGAAGGTTTGTATATCTTGCCTTCTTGCTCTCTTTGTCATTATCTCCAAGCTTGAGAACCTGAAAGAAGGGACATGCAGCGAGCATGGCTACATTGTGCTAAAAATTATGAATGGCTAAGGATGAGCTCAGGTTGGGGCCGAGCGTGGTCCCAAGTTCCCAACCTCTGCTCCTCCAAAAACGGGGAATTCTCCACCCCCTGCTAGACATAAGCATAGGGGTGGGATGCCATGACATCATTGACCCAATATGGTCACCTGGCTATATTTGGTCAATGACACTACACTACATGTGGCCATACAAGGTCAATTATGTCAACACAAGCATCCCGCCCCTTTGTTTATGTTTAGCTGTGGGGCATGGAATGCCCCAGCCCCAGCGAATAGGTAAGCAGCCTCGGGGCTTTTACATGTTCAGAGGAGCTCAGGTTTGGGCTGAACCTGAGCTAATCCCTAGTAGTGACTTTAACCCTCTTAGCCTTACATTTTCCCCTGGCAAAATGTTCAAAAAATGCTTCTTTTTTTTTTAACCACATGTTAAAATTTAAATTTTAGGGCTCCACATTACTTGAACCCCTAAACTGAAAGCAGAGAACCTGTAAAAAAAATCGGAAATTGCACATTTCTATGATGTGCAATATTTGAGTTTTTTCACACCTATAAAAGTACAATAAAATTTAATTTTAGCGAGCACATTTTTTAAAATTAAAAACAAGACTGTGTGGAGTGAAGACATAACAAAAATGTCAATTATTAAAATTGTGTGCGACCGCAAAAAACAACAATATGTAAACAGGCAGCACTGAAAAAATGTTTACAGCTCATCAGTTTGGAGTTGACCATGAATAATTGCCCCAAATTATTCCGGTTTCGGATTGCTGTTTACGTATGAATGTGCTTGCATACAGGATATCTTTTTTTTTTTTTTTTTTTATCATTATATTTTACTATTTTTTAAAAAGCTTTACATTTTTTTGTCACTTAACTTTATTACTATTACAAGGAAGGTCCTATTTTTTGGAGGACTATGCTTTGCTTGTGCACATACAGTACTCAATTTGCTCCTTTCCTGTCTGACAGCTATGAACCCGGAAGTGCTCAGAGCAGAATAACACAATACAGTGGAGAATCGGCGATAGGATTTTCACAGATCCTCCACCAACTCACTATCTGGAACATCCTCAGCCCCTTGGTGTTTACTTCTAGCATTAGACAGGCTCGGAATTGTATGTAAAAACAGTAACCCCAGGTTACTTGCTTGGGGTAACCATTTTACATAGATTTCTGAACATAAAAAATGGTTGGGGTTAGTGATGAGAGGATTAAGGGTGCATGGTTAAATAAATGCACATAAAACTCAGGACAAAGGATAATTAAACTCTCAGTACACAAATACCTTCAGCCCCTCCTGCCCCAAGCTGTGGTGGTCAGTGGCACTAAATATCCCCCTAGCCCAAGCCTTGGTGGTCAGCGGTATTACATTTTCCCTTTCTCTCCTGCTCCAAGCATTGAAGGCCACTAAAATATCCCCCTCCTTCTGTCCCAAGCATTGGTGGTCAGTGGCACCCACAACATCCCCCCCTTTCCCTCCCCTGAGCATTGGCGCTCAGTGGACTAACCGGAAAAAACTGTGTCCCACGCTACTGTCTCTACTTGGTCAGAGACATCGCCACAGGCCCGGAATTATACAGATAATGACCGGTAGAAGGTTACTCCACCCAGACAGTGCCAGCTAAGATCCATTGGTGGGTACTTATTTTGAACCTAATGAATTTGCTAAAACTGGAGAATCTGGATTGGCTGTGCCTAGTAACCAATCGGCTTCCATCTTCAGCTGCTCCAGTCTTAGTAAATCCCTCCCCATGTTTTTCAGAGATCACAAAGGGGCTTCTGTGGGTGCGTTTGGGAATTATTCTCCTGCTTTATAACCAGGACAGCAAAAAGGGTCAACCCAAAAATCAATCTAACCGTATGCCTTTGAAAGAGATCTCCCTGCAGGATGCAAAACCATTTACATATTAGCTGGGGATCACGTACCTAGTTAGCATGGAGGAGTCTCCTGCATCAACATGGGAAACCTCACGCGGCCTGGACACGAAAAGCATTGACAGGTTGATAGCTTTCTTGATTCTGTGGGTGGTGGTGCATGGCATGTTAGTTGGTGGAGCGATTTGTCTGGTTAATTCTGATAACGATCGAGACTCCTCCATGGTAACTAGCTAGGTGACCCCCGTCTAATGTGTATACGGCATTGCGTTCTACTGGGAGATCTCTTTCAAGGGCATACGGTTAGATTTTGTTTTTGGATTTACTTATTAGTTTTAATCCTAGCAGGTAGCTAAACATGTGTTATGTAATTTGTCCTGTTTACCCTCTGGGTTTCCTATACAGCAAACAGGGAGATGACTGACAAAAGTGAGGAGGGGGAATCTGAAGCCTGGAGCAAGCAGACTGTGTTTCATGTATGCAATTTAAAATGCAATTATTAATTCTGACATTAAAATAAAAGGAACACTCTGAGTTTTAAATCCATAAAATTTATTGTCAGATATAAATATCTTCAATTTTGTTACTTATTTACACCTGTAAAGTTGCAAAATATCTCAGTATATTCCACCATCACCCCCACCATTCAAACCCATCTAAAAACAACATGAAAATATTCGGAAATAAAAACTCTAAAGCCCCTGAACCGGTCCACACGCTCGCCTCTAGAAAAAAAAAAAGAAAAGTACAGCAGGCAAAGGTCTGATGTTTTTTGTTTTTTTTGCTACACGGTAGCAAAGGAATCAAGTAGTGTAAAGAGAACCTGGTCTGTGCTGAGCTGTGCTGTACAGCGCCCCCTGCTGGAGAGGAGGAGCGATTGGACAGGCCTTGGCGTGCTCCGCTATGTCACTATGTTCTTGTGAAAGTTTGTTATGCTCCATTTCTGTCCGCTGCATTTCTGAAGCACCAGCTGATAACCGAACTCATTGTCGCTGTTTTCTTGAAGTTCCAGACAACGCTTAGACTTCTTGTTTTGTATCGCTCCTCCCTGGAACAAAGAGAAAAACAAAATGAGTGCGGGGGAATTCATCTGCCAGTGCATGCTTGCCAACCAAACCCTGCAAGGTTTTCAGAGACTTCTTTCTGGAAATGTTAATGTCTCTGGTTTTAAGAAGAGCTCCGGGGAAACTAAAAAAAGTTACCCTTGCTACCCCCCCCCACGCACTACAAGGGTTATGTGCTCGTTTTGTCTAGGGGGGGCTCAAAAAAAAAAAAAGCAGTCATCTGATCCCCAGTCCCTCTGGGCTGCTAGACTGGTCCCCACAGCCTCTTCTCCCCTAGGCTCCAGTGGTCAATGGACCGCTGATGTCATCATGCCTAATGCAGGTCAAGGGTCCATTGACTTGAATTAGACGTGAGGATACCGAGGGACAATCCAAAGCTATGCAAAGGAAGTGGTCTTATACTCTCCCCCGATGGCCTATGGGTCCTACCCAGCGGGGTCACAAGGGGGGTGTACAGCACTCACCCGGGTGACTCCATCGGAGGGGGTGACACCAAAATGACTGACAATCATTTTGGTGTCGCCCCCTCTGAAAAGACGTGCACTTGATCATGGACCGCCGTTGCTCGAGAGAGAGAGGAGGGGACCCAGCAGCATACCTTATCCCGCCGGGTGAACGTCCCCTCCTCTCTCTGCTGGGGGTCCATCATAAGATGGCTGCCGGCAGGTAACAGCGGTGCACAGCGTGACATCATCACAGGAGTGCACGATGACGTCAAAGCGGGGTGTCAACCGGTACTCGCTCCGGGTGTCATCCTACCTCCTCTTCCACTCCAGTGCTACGACCCCCCTCAGTCTCTTTGGAATTGAACACTTACAGGAGCTCTGGATGCATTTGTTCCCCCCCCCACCATGTGCTGACATTTCACTCTCTGACCCCTATTTCACTGGTTGTGAACGTCCCCTCCTCTCTCTGCTGGGGGTCCATCATAAGATGGCTGCCGGCAGGTAACAGCGGTGCACAGCGTGACATCATCACAGGAGTGCACGATGACGTCAAAGCGGGGTGTCAACCGGTACTCGCTCCGGGTGTCATCCTACCTCCTCTTCCACTCCAGTGCTACGACCCCCCTCAGTCTCTTTGGAATTGAACACTTACAGGAGCTCTGGATGCATTTGTTCCCCCCCCACCATGTGCTGACATTTCACTCTCTGACCCCAATATCACTGGCGTGTTCTGTAGTAAGTTGGGGATTGGAAGAAGGAACCACAGTGGGCTGCAGGGGACACAGGCAGAAGTGTGAAATGCTATGGAGTCTGTACTCTGCAAATTTTAGAACCCCAATAATACAAATCCATTGGCAGGTAAAGCAGCTTCCTTTCTGTGTATTTAATCTGCGTGTTTACCTTTTAAAATAGTCAGACGGCAAGAAAACCATAGTAACAATTTTAAGCAACAAAACTTGGGATGTTATTTTGCTTTTATCTCCCCTTCTGGTCTATAAGTAGATAATATACACCACACACAGAGCGCCATCATCCCTCACATCTCGCCACATTATAACAAAATGATGAGAATGAGTCCGGACGCTGAAGGATATCTCGGATTACGTTTCCATATGTCTCATTTATTATTAATGCCACAAATCCATTGTATCCAGCGCGAGGCTGGCCGTAAATGTCCATATTAAATCCATAAATTATCCTAAATCTGCAAAGTGCGCAATGAGCCGAGGCAAACGATTTGTTTTGCTTTTAATTTGACAAATTTTAACATCAACGGCGAAAACTGTTGAGGAATGAAACGCATTAGAAGCTCGGCATTCAGCTGATTGTATAATAACTGTAATCTGAGTTACATTATCATATCACGCCATCGATCTGCATCCAGAACGTTTTACTGCAATAGATGGATATTAATGTTCCACTTCACTGGTGGAAATAAACATCCTTCAGCTTTTCCACTTGTGTCGTGTACAATAGACATTCTTTTTCCCATAAATGAAGGTTGGTCCCAACGTACAGGAGACAGTTGAAGGGTGACGGCGGTAATGTACGCAGATTAAAAAATTAAAAACCACCACCGTGGCGGTGTACAGTACAGTCCTCGGTAACTTTCCTCAGCTCTAAGTCTCTCAGCACACCTCTGTGTGATACTCTCACTGCTCACCCCTCGTGAGCACTCACGCTGCTCTTTCAGCAGTGTATCCAACAGGTCCCTAGGGTCACAGACCTTCCTGACCTCTCTCAGCCTCCCCTGGCTGTTCCACATGCATCCAGCACGCACCTGAGTCTGCTCGTGGTTGTGTGCCTCCTGCACACACACAACTCTCACAACTCCAGACTCCTAAAGGTGGCCGTACACCTTACGATTATCGGACGAAACAACCGGTGTACGATTGTTGTACGGCGGCCCCATCCTACCCAGATTCGGTTCAATTAGCCGCAATTAGGTTCAATTAGCCGTAATTAAAGAAAAGCACCTGGACGAATTGCGGTAATCGACTGCATGTATTTTCGTTTGCGCATGAGCAGTGTAGATCGTACGATTTTTGACGTACGGAAACGCCACTAACCTTGCGAAAATCGCACGATCGAGTAAAGTTTTCAAACCTGCTTGAAAATCAAAAGTCGTACGATTGTACAGTACTTGCGGCGGTACACTGCCCATCAACCTTGCGATTATCAGACGAAAACGGGAACGCATACCATTATCGTAAGATAATCATTATCTCTCAGCCACCTGATACTCCTAGATTGAACATTGGCAACACCTGGCCCCGGGACTAGTTATATATATATATACATACACACATATATATGACGACAGCAGACTTCGTGCTGTTGTCACAACTTGAATCCGCTCTTTGGACTACAGGTAAGCATTACCACACTGGTGACCCCACCCTCAGCATGGTCCATCCTGTAAAGTCAATTAGAGACTGTCACTTTGCCCATTGAGACAGGTAGTGTATATTTACCTATGTGCTCCCTTGCCACTTTCCCACTATGTTGCTCCAACACAGTGGGTACAGGGGAGCATGTGACTTCCACCATTTTCCCCCCATGGCCAGGCCTGAACATTGTCATGGTGGGGGGAGTGATGTCATCTATACGCTAGGCTCCGATGCAGAAGATTGCCCAGAACGGTCTCCTGCTGTAAGGAGGTGGTGAGGGAGTGCGGTTACTGACGGGATCTCCAGGTAAGAAACTTTGCAACAGATTATCAAACCTGCTTCTTAAGGAAACTGTATACAACAAGACATGGATGTCAAACCTGCAGAAAAACAGATTTTTGGGTTTACATGCACTTTAAGTACCTTCTCCTCTCCCCACCCATCAGGGAAGACACTCCCACTTAAGGCTGGTTTTTAGCTTTCAGCTGGTGTGTAATAATGCAATATAGTGACGGATTTCACATCATTACACCGGCTACATTGAACAATCCTTTGACTTTAAAAAGTATCTCAAAACGTAATTGGCCTAAAATGCTTTTATACATTTTGTCTAACATGAGCTGTACCAGCTGCTGGGTGACTTAGGACTTGTAGTCCCTCCAACAACTGTACGAGCACCAGCCCAAACATGACTCATGAGGAGTCCACACCTAGCCACCTTTCCCCCTCTCACAATGTAAATTCAATTTGTGTGGAAGCCCCGCAGCCCGCTGCTTAATGAGCTGATTGTAATGTAAACACAGGAAGGTCACTAATTAATGGCTGCGCATTGCACATAATTGCATTTCCTGCCTGGAAGAAAATCAGCATGAAGCCAGAACAAGGGCTTCATGGAGGGGAAGTGAAGTGAAAAGTGGACGGGTTTCAGGTATAAAGAGCAACGTGATAATAAATAGAAGAGGAATGAATCTCCTCTGAAGATGCCGTTTATATATAGATATTTGTGGAATCTACAGACGTGCCGATGAGCGCAGCAGCTGATTCCACCTTGAAGTGCACTGCCAGTGATTCCAATCGCATCAGGGTCACGCTGTACATTTTTATATTGACGTTTTTTGTATTCTTGGAGGGGGGGATGGTTTTTAATTGCTGATTTTAGGGGGAAAAAATCTTCTTGAGTGCAGTGGCGTCACAAGGGGTTACCCGGGTAATACCATTGGAGGGGTGACACCAAAATGACAGTCATTTTGGTGTCACCCCCCTCTAAAAAGTCGGGGGCCTCGGTGACAGCCGTGCACCACCAGGTCCCGGTCCGCTCCCAGAGCCCGGGGAGACAGGGGCCTATTTTATCGGCACAGCAAATAAATTCAGGATGGAGAGCGGGGAGCATACTGGAGAGAATGTCTGTTCTCCAGTCTGCTTTGTGTGATCAGTGTACTCGCAGCGCTTCCTGTTCAGCTGTCACACGCCGGGCTGCACAGGAGATCGAGCACAATTCTGTGCTCGATCTCCTGTATGGGAGGGAAGGGGAGACATTCTATTGTTTTCTTACGGGGATGGGGGGGGGCGGGGGTTGACACCATGAGCTACTGCAATGGGTGACTCCAACCCTAGTGATGACTCTGGTCCATCCAGTCTTCAGATTATCCAGCACAACCCTGTCTGGCAGGGCAGGAGACTTGATTTTTCTCTGCTGCAGCTCAGTAAAACTTGTCTTGAACATCCCCCAGCCTCTGACTGGACAGTGAAATACAAAGTAGCAAACTGATGAGCTCATCTATCCTTGCTCTCTCCTCCTATTGGCATGCTCCTTGTTAACACATGAGCATTGCAGCTTAATTGATTGTCTGCTTCTCCCTCTGAGCTCTGCTGTACAGGGCTGATTAAAGGAGAACTATGAGGGGGGTGCTTTTCACTCACCTCATAGTTCTAGCCGACCTGTGGCAATGAGACTGTCACAGGTCGGCTCAGTAGATCGGGAAGTGAGCGAACACATACCGGCGTTCACTCACTTCTCGATCCTGTCACAGCTCTCTGCCGTGACAGGGGAGGGGCTGGATTCCCCCCTCCCCGCTCCAATCCTTCAGCACTGACTGGCGAATCGGACGTGGGAGGGGGCGGGTACAGCTGGCTCTGCCTCTAGATAGG